GAGGACAGGATTTCTCTGTGTATCCCTGGCTGTCCTGGAACTCACTTTATAGACCAGATTGGCCTTGAACTCACAGAGATCCACCTGTCTCTGTCTCCTGGGTGCCATCATGCCCGGCTAAAAAAGATAATCTTTAAAAGACACTTTTTTTTTTTTTGAGACAGAGTCTCATTTATCCTGGATGGGTCTAACTCCCAATGTAGCCATGGGTGGCCTTAAACTCCTAATCCTCCTGCCTCCACCTCTGCACTGTTGGGATTGCAGGTATGAGTCAAAGTGTCTGATTTAAGAAAGATACTCTCTAAAAATTTCTATGTATATGCATTGTGGTGCGCAGAATAAACTGTATTATACCTCTGTGTTAGTTATCCTTCCGTTGCTATGATAGAATACCCTGACACAGGACGTTAGGGAAGGAAGGGTTTATTTTGGTTTGTATTCCCAGGGGATAGAGTTCATCACGGTGGGGTAGGCACAGTAGGAGAAGCCTGAAGCTGGCCTGGCAGTCGGGAAGCTGAGAGAACAGGAAATTGACATACTTCCTCCATCAAGTCTCCACTCCTAAAGGCTCCACAACCTTCCCAAACAGAGCCACCAGCTGGGGATCAAGTGGGTGTATCTCACTTCAAACCACCCCAGGGTACCAATGATTTCTTGTTCTCCGCCGTAGGACGGAATTAGACATCACAGCCTGATGGCTGACGACTGACAGTGCCTTGCTTCTTGATTTGCTTTGCTGGGTGGGACTGGATGGAAGTTGAGTCTGAGAAGAGGGAAACACCATTGAGTGACTGTGCAACCTTCTCCATCGGCCATGGCAACGCTGTGCCCCACATGAAACCTGATTGCCCAGCCTGCCTCGCTGGCTGAATGAAAAAGGAGTGCAGACGAGAAACTGATAGTAATTATGATTATAATGTGTTGTAAGTCGGTGAGATTTTGGGTGCTATCTTTGGTTTCTATTGCTGTGGTGAAATACCGTAACCAAAGGCAAGGTGGCTTTCTTCCAGCGTACAGCTCTCAGTTCACACTCTGTCACTGAGGGAAGTTGGGGCAGGAACTCCAGGCAAGAACACGGAGGCAAGAACGAAGAGTGCACGGACCATGAAGAGTGCTGCTAATTGATTTGCTCCTCCTGCTTGCTCAGCCTGCTTTCTTGTATAACTCAGGGTCACCCACACTGGTCCAGAATGGCACCACCCATCTGTAAGTCCAGTTTCAGGGGATGATCTGATACCCTCTTTCTGCCTCCAAGGACGGCAGGCATACACGAGGCATATATACATATATGCAGGCAAAACACACATAGGTAAATACATACATCATTTTTAAAAAGGGCTAGAGAGATGGATCATGGGTAAAGTGCTTGCTACACAAGCGTGGACACTTGAGTTAGCAACCTCGTAAAAAGCTGTGTGTGGCAGCATGCGTTTGTAACTCCAGTGCTTGTGGACAGGCAGATCCCATGAGCCAGACAAAACAGTGAGTTCCAGGGTTAGTAAGAGATCCCGCTTCAAAAAATAAGTCAGAGATGGGCTGGGGAGATGGATCAGTGGCTAAAAAGCTTTCTTCACAACCCTGATGACTTGAGTTAGGGTCTCTAGAACCCATGCAAACAGGCTGGTTACAATAGTACAAGCATCTGTAGTTCTTGTGTGTCCCTACAAAGAGACAGGAGGCAGAGATGGGAGATGCTCTAGAAGCTGGGCCAGTGATCCAGGCTTACACTGCAACAAAGAGAGACTGTGTCAGACAAGGTGAAAAGCTGAGGACTTGAAGGTTGTCCTCTGACTTTCAGACAGATGCTGTGTGTGCGCACCTGCACACACACACACACACACACACACACACACACACACACTTACACAGCACACACAGAAACACATAAACACATGCAAACAACAAAAATAAAATAAGGCAGACAACATGCAGTAGACGAAGATGCACCCCGTGTTGACCTTTGGTCTCTACATGTGCAAGTATGGGCACATGTGTCCACACACTCATATCACACATGCTCATGCACACACAAAAAGAAATTAAAAACAAATGAAGACCTGTTGAGATGGCTTGGTGGTTAAGAGCACTGGAAGTTCTTCCAGGAGACTGGTTTGACTCCCAGCACCCACATAGTGGCTTACAATTATCTATAACTCTAGTTCCAGGGGATTCAATACCTTTTTCTGGCTGTAGGCATCAGGCATGACGGTACTGGTGTGATGATGGTGATTGTTGTAATTTAAGAAAAGCATCGTGCAAGAGAAAGATGCCATGACAGAGGATTCAAGCAGAGGGTTTTTTTTTTTTTTTTTTTAAAAGTAGGGAAAGGGATCATATAAAGGGGAAAGGGGAGGGGAGAGACTGGCCTTGGGAAACAGGAGCAGCAGGAGAGGAGAAAGGAAGGGGAAGGAGAGGAGGGGTAGGAGGGAGAGAAAGAGAGAGAGGATGGGAGGTGGGCAGGCCCTTTTAAAAGGGAACACAGTGAATGTGCACAGGTGTTGCTCTTAGTGGCTGAAGCTAAGGGTGTATCCTGTCAGAGCCCAAAGACAGGCCAGTACAGATGCCCGAATACTGACAGTGATTGTGGTAGCGAGGGTGGGGTAGTAAGGTGATCGTGGTGGGAGGGGGTAAGGGTGATTGTGAAGGCAACGGTAATAACGGTGACGGCAGAATAGATGCTGTGGATAGTGTGGCTGTGGTGAGTCCGGGTTGATCATGGTAGCAGCAGTGTCCTAGTGAAGATGGGGTTGGTTTGGTGGAGGTGGCTGTGGCGGGCTAGGCGCTGCTGTTGGTGATGCTATTTGTGTCTCCCCACGCTCTCACATAACCTCTCGGGTCACTTTATTTTGACCCCCAAAGCGGTAGCGGCCTCGACAGGGTACAGCACACCCACCTTCCTTCCTGGGTTCGTTTTGAGGTTACTTCTGTTTTCATTCAGTGATTGCTCTTTCAGTTCACTGAGCACGCTCTGGGGTCAAGCAGACCTCACCCTAGTCTCACTTCCTGTCTTCATTCAAACGCTTCCTCTTTCCCCAAGGCCGCCGCTCGCTCTCACAGTCTGAGTAAGTTTCCCAGAATCCTTAAGTTCTATTCTTTCAGACAGGGTCTCAAGTAGCCCATGCAGATCTTCAGTTCTCGGGGTTAGCTGAGGATGGCCTTGAACTCCAGATCCTCCTAGCCCCACCTCCCAAGTGCTGCACCACTATACCTAGCTCCAAAAAAAAAAAAAAAAAAAAAAAAAAAAAATCTAACCTGAACATACGTGGTTCTTCCTATAATTGGGATCTTGAAATGGTTGCAAGGTGCCACATGTTGGAGACCTTATCCTTAGGGCGGCACTGTTGAGAGGTGGCAGAACCTTTCAAGAGCTGGGGCCAAGTGGAAGGTGTACTGCACCCGCCCCCCTTTGCTTCCTGGCCATGTCTTCCGGTGCTTTTTGCTTTTCTCTGACAAAGCAGGGTCAATCAGCAGAATACAGACTGGAACTTCTAAGACAAAAGAAATCTTTTCTATTTCCCTTACAGGTGTTTCTTCTAGTGACAAGCCGACTAATGTAGCTGGCCTCTTAGGGAATAGGCAGCCTTCTGTCATTAGCCACAATTGGAAATTAACAGTACTTCCTTCCTACCCTGGATTGGGCCCCCGGGAGGGAAATGAGTATGGTTTGGCTTCCATAAAGCATAGTGATTATCTCAGGTTCATCATGCTCGGGACCTGCCAATCAAGGAACGGGAGCCAACAAACCAGAGCAGGGGAAAAGAATCATGGTAGCTGCTTGGCTTTAGCATGGCCAAGATGGAGCAGGTGAGGCGAGTTATGATCCAGAATGTTCTCTTTCTCTCTTTTCTTTCTTCTGAACTAATGAGGTTAGGTCCACTTAGGAGAGCACCAACTAGAGATTTCTTACTCAAGTTTGGGACTGTTCATCCATCAGCCCCATCTTGTCCTGGGTCACTGCAAAAGCTGCATCTGGGGGAAATCACTAATTCCAGTGAAAAGGAATTCTTCCCCATTCAAAGATGATTTAGGCCTCCAGGAACCAGCGGCAGGAATTGACAATGTGTAGGTCTGTTGTGTATCTCCTTTATATAAAATAGGCAGGGCCTCCCCAACCTGTTTGCCTCTGATCTACTCTGACTGCCTGTCTACTAGATTTTAAATTTCTCATTTGGCGGGGGTGGAGGCGGGGTAAACGTGTGGGGCAAACCCTGTCAATTGTCTCCCTCGCTTCCCTCCTCCCGGAAAAGGCTACCCCTGAAATGTAAGCCCGGTTCATGCCCAGTAGTCCTGGGCTCCTCCTCCTCCACTAGGCCCCTCGTGGGCTGGTCCCACGCCTTCCCCGGGGTCGTGATAGGGTGTGACCTCCTTCAGTTCTGCCACAGGCAGCCACATTCCCTCACTTCCACTCCTTCTGCAGATCGCAGACAACACTGGCCCTCTAATGGCCAACGCATTTGCAGAAGGCCCAGAGATAAAAACCAAAAACCTCCTGAAGAAAAAACCCTCCCCACACCTGGGGCCGTTGCGCGTGGTGTAGTTCTGATGTCCCTTCTGCAAGTTCTGATAAATCACCTTGTTTCACTAGATCCGGCCTTTGTTTTTTATTTCATCTCATCCTGTAACATCCAGGGGAGAAACCTTGTATAAGGGACCGACCCCACCTCGCCCAATTCCAACATTCCAGATTGACTCTTTGCCCCCTTTCCTCTCAGACTTTAAATCACTGCTTCTGGTATGCGTGAGAGGCGACAGGGCAGCATTTGAAGAGCGAATCAGAAGTCCATCTTAATCTTTTGGGCAGCATGTTTCAAAATGGAGTTAAATTTTACGAGGGTTGCATTGAGAGCTCGAGCGGCCGAGAACCCAGAAAACCTTGGGGCAAAGTATGTAAAAACCAAAATAAAAGTGATGTCCCCTCCCCCGCGCCCGGCTCTGCGACACAACTCACTCCCAGTGCGCTCTGCCCACACGTACTCAACTAAAAGATTCAGACCACGCCAGCCATGCCACGAGGTGTGTTTTATTTTCATCAATCATACAAATAATTTTCTATAATATCCCAGGGCAAACCGGTGAAATTTGGCAGTCCGATTAGTGGGGGGAGGGTCCCCCTTAAGAGACCCGCGGGCCGGTGGCATCAGCGCGGAATGCCCGGGTTCACAGTGCAGCTTGTGGCTCGCGTCCATCTTGCAGGTGGCTCTTCCTCCACATCACGAAGGGGGTCTCGGAGATGGCGGGGTGGGGTGGGGTGGAGAAATCCTCCAGTCTAGGCTTTTAGGAAATTTCACTCCTCTTTTCCTGTTCAATGGCTGCGAAGGGCGGGTTGTGGGTACTGGAGGATGGAGCCAGCCACCTTGCGGCCCCCCACCCCCACAAACCCGGTGTGGGTGAGGCACCCACGAGGCCTGGGGACAAGGAGGGGATTTGGAAAGGACAGAGTGCTTTGTGTAACTGGAAGGGTGGCTGGGGTGGAGGGCAGTGGCCGGGATGGGGGTGCGGGGTGGGGGGTGCCGGGCTGGCTCAGCAGGGAAGGGCGGAGTGCTGGGGTGGGGACCCGGAGGCGGGGGCACACTCACTCTCTTTGGTCGGCAGGGTGTTCTTTTCCTGCGTCTCGGTTTTCTTCAGCTTGGCCTTATCGAAGCTGGCGATTTCCCCCATGTCCGGCTTGTCTGCCATTTTCTTACAACCCTGATGGGCGAACCAAGGCGATAGAGAGTGGGTGGCCTGAGGCTCGGGGGTGACCAGCGATCCCGGGATCCTGCGCCCTCCGCGGACACATCTCGACGTGGCATTCCCGGCCCGGGGCGTTCCCGTAGCGGGGAGGCCGAGGATCCGGGGCTCGTCCACCACACCCTCCCTCCGAAGTCCCAGGGCGTGGCCTGCCAGCCTCGGAATGTTCCAAACCGCCGAGCCGCCTGTTGCAACCCAGAGGGTACGCGACCGCCAGCCGCAAGCTGCCCCGACCCCACCCAGGGTAGGCCCTAAGCCCAGCGATGTGCCTCACCGTGGAGTCTCGTTCCGAGCTCGCGCTCCAGGTGCTCCCACTCGCCTCGCTGCAGCAAGAGACAAAAGAGCGGCGCCCGCCCCTCGCCTTATATACACCGCGCCCCGCCCCGCCCCTCGCCCGCCGCATCGGGGGGCGTGGCCAGCGCGCGGGGGCGTGGCCAGCGCGCGCGTGGGGGGGTGGGTGGGGGCCCAGCATCTCCAGGCAGTCAGGGCTCCGCCCTTCTCGGCCCGCGCCCTTTGCCCGTTGCGGTCCCGCGTGGCGGGTGGCAGACGCCGGCTCCCCGCGGGCTCCCTCCCTGCTGCATCTCCTTCTCCCAGCACCCAGGAGTCCGCGGCTCGCCTCGTGGGGAGGGCGTGGGGGGCAGCGGGGCAGGACTTGAGGTTTTGTTGCGTGCATGTGTAGTGTGGGGTTGTGGGTGTGCGGGCGAGCACGCGCGCTCTGCTGCAGCCCTGCTCGCGGGAGACACCCAACCCGCCTCGCCCTAAGTCACTGGTGTTTGCCTCTCTAGAGTCTCTTTCTCTCCTTTCTTGTGGCCGGTGCTTCTTAAAACACACACACTGTTTCGGGCATTGTCTAAGGGTGGAGGTGGGAGCTAGGAGTCCTGGGGGGGGGGGCGGCTCCGCTCGCTCGCTGTTCCCTCTCTCAGTGAGTGGCCTCTTAGGAACACAGTATCAGAGGGTGTGGTTTACCTCCTTCAGTTAACCTTCAATGTGATTTTAAAAAGAAAAAGAAAAAAAAAAAAAAAAAAAAAAAAGCCAGTGTGCCTTCAAATCTTGCTTTACTTATTAACTCATTTCGGGAGTGGAATAATGTATTCCTAGAAAAAGTTACCTCTTCAGCTTGTGCGACCCCATTAGATAATAAGTTTTATTATATTCAGCTAGGGGTGAAACTTATCCACCCCCCACTGACAAGAGAGGAACAGGAGAACCACTTCTGAATGACGGTCCAGATAGACAACCGCCAAAACATCTTTGCTAGGGCGCTTGAGGGAATAAAAGTTTATTTGGAGGCCTGGAGAGGTGGCTCACCCCCATGGTGGCTCACAGACTTCCGTAGCTCCAGTTTTAGGAGATCCTACATCCTCTGCCGGTCTCCTTGGGCACCAGGTATGCATGTGGTACACAGACATGTTACAAGTCAGGCAAACAGTCTTGTACGTGAAATAAAAAATAAATATTTTAAAGAAAATTCTTTTTTTTTTTTTTTTTTTTTTTAAAAAACTGATGCAACAAGATCTGTGCTAACTTCTTTTGTTATGACAGGGCTTCACTTTGTAGCCCTGGCTGACCTGCAACTTACTGTGTAGACCAGGCTAGCTTTGAACTCACAGAGATTAGCCTGGATCTTGGGGCTAAAAGCCCATGCTACCATGCCTGGCTTTGTGCTCTCCACCAGCCACATAGTGACTCAGGCCTCCTCTCTCCTGTTAATGTGGAGCCTCTCTATCCCTCCCTCCAGACAGTGGACCAGGAAAGAGGACCACACTAGGTTTTTATGGGCCAGGATTTCTTTACTTCTGTCTTCATTTCCTTGGTCAGACTTAGTCACATGGTCCATTAGTCAAACTGGTCTCTGGAGAGAGCAAAAGCTGACCTGGGTGGATTGAAACAGTCTCTGCTTGCTGAAGGGTCTGCTAAACTTGAGCACGAAACTATCCAGACATCCAGAGATACAGTCTCCCTGGAGGGTTTCACTGGCACCCGATTCCTTGTTGGATGCAAACTAAGTAGGTTTGATCGTCATGAGCTTCACCTTGACATGAGTGAATACATGTTCAGTTGTACAAGTTTGGGCCCAAGGTGAACTCCAGTCCCAACTTCTCTTTATTTAGGAAAGGAATTTGACTTTTCTAGGCAGAGGCACAGAGAGAGGATGCAGATGGGGGCGGGGGAGTAAGCTTGCTGGATCCCCAAACAAAAGATCATTAAGTCCACTCGCAGACATTCCCTGTTCTTGCTAAGTTCAGCTCAGTGACTCCTCTGCAGAAATAAAACACCCTCTTCAGCATTTGCGCTTAACAATATGGTCAGGCTGGGGATGTAACTGAGTTGATAGAGTGCTTGCCTAACATACTTGAGACCCTGGGCTTCATCCCCAATGTCACATAAACAATCTTAGTTCCTGGGAGGTAGAGGGAGAAGCGTCAGGAGTTAAAGGCCAGCCTTAGCTACAGAGTGAGTTGGAGGCAAGTGTGGGCTACCTGAGACCCTGTCTCAAAAACAGACCAAAAATAAATGAACAAAAGTAATGATCGAATCTAGCGGCCTCATTCAATCTCATAGACTTAAAAATCCTCGCAGGTAACCCAACCATTCTCTCACCGTTTCTCACCTCCAGGTTGCCTTACCGACTTTCTTCTAGTAAATGTGGCAGAAATGAGCCTTTATGACTTAAGAGGCCAGGCCATAAAGGACCACAGGGCTTTGAGCCACTGTCTGCAAGGGTGTTGCCTCCAGGCTCTGAGGGAATCCAGCATCTGGGAGGAAGGGCTGCATGTCTGCATTCCAGAGTGGAGTGGAGACAAGCTGTCCCTGGCCAAACCCAACTCAGGAGCAGGGCAGACATCACAGCTGCTTGATGGTATTAAGTTTCTGGATGTCTTGTTACAGAGCAACAAGCAACTGGGAAAACCACAAGGCACAAGAAAGTCAGAACCTGGGAGTGTCAGGTCCCCAGGTCCCGCTTGGAGACCTTTTCCTGTGTGTCTTTCATGGCACACACACACACACACACACACACACACACAGAGTCAGTGTTCGCTGAGTGTATGTGGAGTAGGTGGCAGGATTCTGAGTGTGGAGGGTGATGGCAAGACACACTCAGAGTAGAGGAATGACTCGATCGATAGGGCTCCGGCTTTGTGTTCACTTACCACTGGGGCTGTCATTATCAGTGATGATGTTTCTGTCTGCTGCTTGGAGCAGACTGGACACTGCTCACAGATGGCTTGGAGTAAGCCGATGGCCAGCGGGGGAGGGGGCGGAGAGGTGGGAGGAGCCTTTCTTTCCTCTCTTGTCCAGCCTGGCATTGTGTTGTTGGTTTCTTTTTTGTTTGTTTTATTTTGTTATTTAACTTTTATTTGTTTTGAAACAGGCTCTTCACAGTCTCAGGCTGGCCTGGAACTTGCTATGTAGCTGGCCTTCTTGCTTTCAACTTGGGATTATGGCATGAGACACTAGACCTCTTTGTTTGGTATTGGGTTTGAACCCAGGGCTTTGTGTAGGGTAGATCAGTACTCTATCAGCCGAGCTACAGCTCAAATCTGAAGTATGACATTTTTATCAGACTAGAATGAAGATGTGGACAGAATGGTAATTTTATAAAAGCTGCTGAGGTGAGGGACAGCTGTGGAGCCTTCCGGCCTAATCACCAATCCCACCAAGACAAGGGTTCATGATGGATGTGGTGTCTATGATCCATGGCTTCGTGGATAGAGTCCAGATTGCCTTATTTTTGGGAGGGGGGGCTGGCTCTCATGTAGCCCAGGTCGATATCAAATTTGCTGTGTAGCTAAGAAAAACTTCGATTTTTCTGTTCCTTTTGCCTCTACCTCCAAGTACTGGGTTGCAGGTGCATGGCAGCGTGCCTGGCTTATGTGGTGCTAGTTGAACCCAGGGCCTTCTTCATGCTAGGCAAGAACTCAACCAATTGATTGGATCCTCAGCTCCTAGATTATGTTTGGCTGCAAGGACTTTTGACTTTGTTCTGTCTTAGTTTAGGAGACCGTTCACATGTCCTTCTCCTCGGGGAATCTCGGGTACCCTTATATCGTAACAATACCCTTGCCTTTTATTGTGTATTGATTGTATTTATACCCAATACCCTTTATTGTATTGTGTTTCATTTTGTCTTCGTAGACTCTGCCTCTAGCCACAGCATAACCAGACATGCTATATTTTCGTTTTTCTTCCACATCCCACGACAGGAAATGAGAGACCTTAGCTCTGTTCTCTGCTGCCATTTCCCCAGTGCCGAGTGCATTGTCTGACATGGTCACTGCTCAGTCTGCATTCCTTTGAACAAATGCTCAAGTGTCCCAGCCAGGAGAGTGAGTTATTGCTGGAGCGGTGATGAGCACTCTGACGAGGCATTCAGTGCACAGTGGGCAGCTGTTTGGGCTGTTATAGGAGTGGCTTATGCTTCTGTATAGCGTGCTCACATACTATGCAGTGTGCGAAAGGATGCTCACAAGGAGACAAAAACGCCACCTCCCTGCTCCTTCTATAGCTGGGGTTACATTTGTGAAAGTCTCCTTTGTGGGATTGGTCTTGCCATCTGGTGACATTAGACAGAAGAAACATGGGAAGCGAATCGGGATGGAGCCTGTGTCTCATGGTTAGTGCTGTCAATTTGACAGAACTTAGACTCACTCAGAGTTGGGCTTTTGGGCATGCTTATGGAGAATTGTCCTGATCACATTAGTTAAGGGGTGAAGCTCCTTAACTATTGCGTATTGCTGGTCCCTGACGGGGATTCTGGTCTGCAGAAGGGTGCAGGGCTGAACAGCAGCACACCTTCCTGCCCTCAGCTGCTTCTAAAGAGTTATTAATGTGTCCCTGCGTGAGCTTATGTGTGCCACATTCATGCGGGTACCCCCAGAAATTGGAAGAGAGCATAGGATCTCCCGAGGCTAGAGTTGCAAGTGTTTGTAAAGCTGCTTGATGTGGGTGCTGGGAGCCAAACTTAGACCTCTGTGAGTGCAGTACATGTAACCGCTGAGCTGTCTCTGCAGCCCCTTGACATGCTTTGTTTTTAACTATTGTGTGTGTGTGTGTGTGTGTGTGTGTGTGTGTGTGCGCGCGCGCGCTTCAGCACGTGTGTGCAGGCATGTGGAGGTCATGGAAGATATTCACAGAGGATAACTGAGAACCAGGATAACTGAGAACCAGTGGGGGTAGGTTCTGTCTTTTTCCTGTGTGGGCCTCTGAAACTGGTCTCGGGCTTGGTGCCTGGTATCTTTATGTATGAAGTCATCTCCCTGGCCAAATATGAATGTATGTTTTATGTGTTTTAGTTTTTGAAGCAGGGTCTTGCTATATAGCCCAGGCTGGCTTTGAACTGTCCACGTGGTTCAGGCAGGCATGCACTGCCTCTGCTTACCCAGTGCTGGGTTTTCAAGTGACTTTGCCATCGTTACAATCTGGTGCCCATGCAGATTGGGTGTATATACAAATAACCCAGGTATATTCTGAGAAGGGACACACACA